TGTGACTGTCTGCCTGTAACTGAGTGTGTGACTGTCTGCCTGTAACTGAGTGTGTGACTGTCTGTCTGTAATTGAGTGTGTGACTGTCTGCCTGTAAATGTGTGTGTGGGGCTGCAGGGATTTTGTAGAAGGGGGTGGGGGTTTTGTATTGGGACAGGAGTCTTTATAAGGGGGGATAAGCAGGGGATTTGTGGAAGGTGGTTGCGGGGGTTTTGTAGACGAGGCAGTACAGTATTTGTAGAAGGGGCAGGACAGAGGTTTTGTAGGAGGGGCGGGACAGGACAAGGGTTTTGTAGGAGGGGCTGACAGCAGTTTTGCAAAGTTAACAAATTGTAAAAAAAAAGAAAACCTTTAACATTTTTTTTTTTTTTTGCAGTGCATATTCGTTTTACATCGACGCGTGAGGTACCCCAACGGCATTCCTCCAGCGTGTTTAGTACATAGCTATTACAGTTGGGATATCTAAAATACATGCACAATTTTATATTTATATTTACGTAGTAGACAAGTAGTTAAGTTCACCGCTTAGTAGATATTGGTAGGCTTAGTCCTGTAGTTAGGGCAGGTAGTGTGGCATGTCTCACGGGAATGCCAGAAAACTGCGTTACAAATAGCTTAAGTGGACTTTCCAGGGGGGGTTTCACCTTTAACATTTATTACAGATTTTTTTTTTTTTTTGGGGGGGGGAGAGGGTGCCGAGCACAGGATCCGCCCCGGGTGCCAAATGCTCTAGGTACACCCCTGCCCTAAAGGGTCATTTTTTTGAGCCAAAAAAGCAAGTAGTGAAGAATTCTCTTCAGATTATCCCTCCACTTTTGGTATCATTTGTGTCTTTCATTTTTCAATATTAAATCAATAGTTAATTGAGTTTGCAGTTGCACATCTCATATATGACTAAAACCTTGTTGATGTTCTTCTACTCTTGGATTAAGCTTCGCCAGTTACTGAAAACCTCTTCCATCTCAAAAGCAAGTTTATCATTGTGGAATAATCGCTGCGTTTTGTCAGGAGAAAACACTAGCCATGATTATGTCATTGTTTTTGAGCATTTAGTATAACCAATCACTAGAAAAAAATCTATTACGACTGTTTTTCGGGAATAGGTCATTATGATTTTGAACAGACAATGATCCTCTTTCGATTAACTGAACTTATAAGTCATCTATCACCTCTGCTCTGGCCATTACCCCGCATCAATTAAATAATTTGGAGGACAGAAAGGAACTAATCAGAGGACTCCAAAGGCTGATAATCATCTATGTGAACGTATTCAGATGAATTACAGTTAGGAATCGTTATTAATTCATCCTGTTCCAGGGATGATGCATGAGCTTCAGCATTTGCAATATCTGTTTCACTTGCCAAAATATTACTTCCCAAGGAACTGGGTTATTATTGTGAATGTTGTCTACTGCAGCACTGCAATTTCAATGGAGCAATCACTTTGACTCTTTTACTTGTGCTTATTGACAGCTCTAACACTGGCAGATGACACACACATTTCGCCATAATCCCCACCATAGATCATATGCATTCCATCTCTTTTGCCTGCTCTTTTCTCCTCTTTGCTTTCCTTCGGTATATTCTTTTACAACAAGGATCAATAAATAAACAGAATTTATAATCAGCTACAAAAAAAATCTAACTGTTTTAGGCACCTGACCACACTGCACATGTAAAATGCTGTAGAATGCTAAAATGCTGTCCACCTGTAGAACAGGGTCTGTGCCCATCTCAAAGGCTTCACTGCAGCTCCCTAGAAGACAGTCTGCGGAGGATTGATGCAATCTTCCAGAGCTTTTGGGCACGACTTCGTAATCAAGCACTGGCTGCATTGACAGGACAGCGTGAGGTTACTGCCGGACGCATGCTGGCGGAGCAGATGAGGCCTCTTTGGGGCGATCCCGTCTTGCTTGAGCCTCCTCACCCTGATGTCCATTTGCCTGGGCAGAGAGCCCCTTAAGGCATTGCCTCATCGCATCACCCACAGAAATGGAGGATCATCCGCCAATGCCAGCATTCACCATCTGGAAGGGGTATGGACTTGGTCTTCAGAACTGAGTCTGTGGAACTCTGATACTGGCCCTCACTGTGGCTTAGGGTTGAAGGAGTGCAGGCGCAGTCCTGCGGTTACTCACCTGGACTTTGCTAGTCCCACGCCATCTCTGCAGCCTGCTGGAACTGGCTAGATCCGGTACCGGTCTGCGGCAAGCGAATACCCATGTTAAAGACAGATGCCATTTGTAACTCGCTCTACTTTTTATCCTGCTCATTTTATACATGACTTGTGGCTGTTACTATTAACCTTGCTACTATACATCTTGTTTATATTTAAACACACCTTTTCTATAACATTGGTAGGTCAGTGGAGTGGAACAGTATGTGGTTTCAGTGAATAATTCTCATAGGGCTACTCGAGGGCACTACGCCCATTATCTTACTCATATTAGATAAGCATATTTTTTATCTCTCTACCTAGTAGTATTGTACTGATTTAAGCAGACTTGTTTGCTAAACTTGTTTATTTTAATAAACTGAGGTAACCTAACCTGGAGTTATAATGTTATGCTTTACTACTGTGTTATCTAAATGTGTACACCTGCTATAACTCCTCTTTTATTTTATGTATTGTACTGCACTGTCCCTAAATAAAATAAAGAATGACAATTTTTTGTAAGATTGTGTTGTTGTTTTTCTCTCCTCATCTTTCCCATCCAATATAGAGGCAATTTAAGTTTTTTGAGAATACATGAGACGGGGTATCTTTTTCCACCGTTTTCAACTGGTGTTGTAAGCTCTTTAGCAGATAGTGGCATATGGTTCTGCAGGGCTAGTGAACAAGCTTCTGACCCAGGATGGTGGATTGGGTAGTTGGACAGGGGGAGCGAAGGTCAATATGAACAACCACACTTTATGATATGTCTCCAATGCAATTACTGCTTTTCATTGGTATAATTATTGTTGTATTGTATTGTATTGTTTCTTTCTGGGTTCAGCATGCTTGACTCTGGAGGGAGGGGGACTCCAGCTGGGAGAACGGGAGAAGGCCTTTGACCGCATGACCTATGTGGATGCTCAAGCAGAGAAGGGGGATGGAGAGTTTCTCCACCACCCCATTTTCTCCACTCTCCCCCCTTTTTTCTTTTAACCTGGTGGTGGCCTTCTGCTTTCTGGGGGTGAGATGGTATGTTGGTGGGAAATCTTTTAGTCAAGGTTACAACAGCCTCATTGTTAGCAGGGGGATAGTGGTGGGGTTGGACATTTACAGTTATGTGGAGTGGATGGGGTGAGGTTGTTTTGTACACGTTTGTTTTCCCAGTTTAAATGCACAGTTCTTGATTAAACCTTTGTTTATGTCGGGTCTAGGGATGAGCTATGAATGTTTTTTTGTATACCATCGCTAATTGAATATAATCTCATGTTATCTTTCTATTGCCTATTATTGATTTGCTTGTGTAATGGAACATAACTCCGCTGGTCTGCCTTCAGTCTCTTCTTCCGCCAGACCTCCATACTGTGGGTCTTCACGGTGGAGTAGCTGATTAACGACATTGCTCCTACTGGCTGAACATTCTTGGTTTCTTCCAGACACATTATCCTTCAAGCACAGTATTTTGGTCTGGTTTGGTGCACCAAAAACAGTTACAATCAAATTGGTCAGGGTTACTGGTTGGTTAGTTTAATTTCTCATGCTTCTTATTCCTCCCCATATCATCTTTCTTTCTTCCTTCCCCCTTTTTTATTTTCTATTTTTTTTTTTTTTTTGGGAATGGCGGACAATGCCTTTGATGCCCAGCCAATCTGACCCTTTACACACTGAACGGTAGAAAACTAAATATTCACCAGAAAAGATCTAAATTACTAAGGGACCTATGGGCTCAAAAAGAGTCCATTGCCCTCAAAGGATTACTATAATATAAATTTCTGGTGGACGACACAGCTCAGGCACATATACCAACAATTTCACCCTCCACTCACGAGCATATTAAACCCACCGTGATATCTCATGTAAGCCATTGGCACCAGAAATCTGTCACAACACATACCCTTGTCACGGAGGAACGCCAGGCCTGCTGCAGACTCTCCACTCATACGCATAGGCCCAACTTTCACACGCAGGCTATTAAAGCCACACATAATTAACATTTAGCTATTAATGAATAGCCTTTACTCATTGAATGCCGTTTGACGCCTACAAAAATGAGCCCACCCCAAACGCACGGTATATAGGCCTAGACTATACAATAGGGCATAGCTATAAATATTTTCTTACTGCTATATAGGTTCACTTGTGCACAACTTATGATGCCTTTAACATGCCTCCACCAACACTTGCAACGCCGCGTGCAGGGCCGGACTGGGAAGAAAATTCGGCCCGGGCATTTTTTAATTACAGCGGCCCACTAAAAAGGGGGCGGGGCCAGATAGGGTGTGTTTTGTCATCACCAATGACAAGCACGCCCCATCACAAAGTGAGCATGTGGGTTCAATGCTCTTCCAGGGTAGACCATGCGCAGAGCTCTGCTGAAGAGCTCTGGCATGAGAAAAATACCCTGTATTTGTTCTGCACAGCGCAAGCAAATTTAATAACATGCTTGCACTGTGTTTGCTTGAAATTTGACTCTGGTGTCTCCATAGTTGGGATACCAGGAGACAAAAATGCCAGGAAAGCATATTGCGCAGTGTGTGTGAGAGTGCTCTGTGTGTGTGTGTGTGTGTGTAAGGGGTGTAGTGTGTGTGAGAGAGGGGTGCAGTGTGTGTGTGAGTGATGGGTGCTGCGTTTGCGTGAGGGTGCTATGTGGGTAAGGGTGCTGTGTGTGTGATGGGTGCAGTGTGTGAGTGGGTGCTGTGTTTGCATGAGGGTGCTATGTGCATGTGAGGAAGCTGTGTGTGAGGGTGCAGTGTATGCATGTGAGGAAGCTGTGAGTGTCAGAGGTGCAGTGTGTGTAAGTGAGGGTGTGTGATGTGCGTGTCAGGGGTGCAGTGTGTGTGAGGGTGCTGTGAGTGTCAGACGTGCAGTGTGTGTGCTGTGAGGGTCAGACGTGCAGTGTGTGTGTGAGGGTGCTGTGCGTGTCAGGGGTGCAGTGTGTGTGTGTGTGTGTGAGGGTGTGAGTGTCAGGGGTGCAGTGTGTGTGTGTGTGAGGGTGCTGTGAGTGTCAGGGGTGCAGTGTGTGTATGTGTGAGGGTGCTGTGAGTGTCAGGGGTGCAGTGTGTGTGTGTGAGTGTCAGGGGTGCAGTGTGTGTGTGTGTGTGAGGGTGCTGTGAGTGTCAGGGGTGCAGTGTGTGTGTGTGTGAGGGTGCTGTGAGTGTCAGGGTGCAGTGTGTGTGTGTGTGAGTGTCAGGGGTGCAGTGTGTGTGTGTGTGTGAGGATGCTGTGAGTGTCAGGGGTGAAGTGTGTGTGTTTGAGTGTCAGGGGTGCAGTGTGTGTGTGTGTGTGTGTGTGTGAGGGTGCTGTGAGTGTCAGGGGTGAAGTGTGTGTGTGAGTGTCAGGGGTGCAGTGTGTGTGTGTGTGTGAGGGTGCTGTGATTGTCAGGGGTGCAGTGTGTGTGTGTGTGTCAGGGGTGCAGTGTATGTGTGTGTGTGAGGGTGCTGTGAGTGTCAGGGGTGCAGTGTGTGTGTGTGAGTGTCAGGGGTGCAGTGTGTGTGTGTGAGTGAGGGTGTTGGGAGTGTTATGTGCCCTGCTGTGCCCTGATTATATCCCCCCTCCCTGCTTCCCTTATGCCTGGGAGGGGGAATCCTGCTACTCCTGCCGCCATCCATCCCTGGTGGTCCAAGTGGTGAGTGAACTCTAGCCTGTTGGGCTAGAGTTCACTCTCGCGAGATCCGGAGCATTGCCATGGCAACGCTCCGAATCTCGCGAGAGGAACCCGGCGGAGCTGTAAGTTAAAGCTCCGCCGGGGTTCCTCTGCTTGCAGGCTGGCTCCCTCCCTCTCTCCCCCGGCGGCCGCACTATCCTGCATGTGGGCCGGTGAGGGAGATCTCTGATCTCCCCACCGGCCCGCTGTAGACTACTGCAGGGCCGACGTTCAGATAGCGCCGGCCCTGCAAAGACCGGCAGGAGAGATCCTGTGATCTCCCTACCGGCCTCGGCCCCACGGCCACCGCGGCCCACCGGGCATTTGCCCGGTGTGCCCGATGGCCAGTCCGGGCCTGGCCGCGTGTAATGTGCAAGTCGTGATATATGTTATCGCTACTTTAGAAGCTGCCTAATGCACGACCGTGCACTATTATGTTACCTAACTAAACCAAAAAATGTGCTACTAAATGTAATACAATGTCTTGCTTTGTTTTGGTCCGTGACCCATACATACGGTATAGCGAGTAGGGGCACTGGGGAGATTTTCATCTCCCTTATGCTATTATGTGGGGTGGGCCTGGGGGAGTTTATGAAGTGGCGGGGAGCACAACTCCCTGCCGCTTCAATCTTTACATATTACAAGGAGGGAGCTGCGTGCCGGTAGCTCCCTCCTTGTAATAAACTGAACCAACAAACGAACACTGATACTCAGTGTTTGGTTGTTCGTCTGACATCTCTATTCATTCATTCATCTTTCTGACGAATGAATGAATAGTTGAAATTCCTGTTCGCATGCCCAAGTGTTTAACTGGGCATGTGCGGGAATCTCAGTGCTATCTATTGTGGGCAGATGACGTGTCCCACAGGGACTTCCTCTACCCACACAAAGATGGCAGCGCCCTGATTATAGATCGGGGCAGAAAATAAAGATTACAAAATAGGTAATATGGGGGGCTTAGGGGTATTTGGGGGTGACTAGGGGGTCAATCAGATGTAGTGGAGATGGGTTAAAAAGAAAAATGGGATTCAGCCATGACAGTGCCGCTTTAAAGGTAAAAATCTCTATCCAGCAACTGGGCACCTCCATCTTAGCTCCCGGTCAGTCATTTTTATAAGCTCTCTCCTTTGAACCTGGCAGTCAGCATAGGGAAGGCATACAGAAAAGAGGAGAAATTAAATAATGGTTAAACGGACATTATCGTCACCAAAACAACTTTAGTTAAATGAAGCAGTTTTGATGTATAGATCATGTCCCTGCTTTCTCACTGCTCAATTATCTACTCTTTAGGTATTAAATCACTTTGCATAGGCTTCCTAAACACTTCCTGTAAAGAGTCATCTAATGTTTACACTTCCTCTATTGCAAATTCTGTTAAATTAAGAATTTCTTATCTCCTGCTCTGTTAACAGCTTGCTAGACCCTGCAGGAGCCTCCTGTATACAATTAAAGTTCTATTTACAGAGCAAGAAATAAAAAAAAAAAAATATCTGAAAATAAGTTACACTGATTGAAAATGAAATAATTTTTTCATGCAGGCTGTGTCAGTCACAGTCAAGGAAGGTGTAGCTAGGGTGCATGGACAGAAATGAAGTAATTTAACTCATAAATGGTAGAGAATTGAGCAGTAAGACTGCAGGGACATGATGAATATACAAAAACTGCTTCACTAAGATAAAGTTGTTTTGGTGACTATAGTGTCCCTTTAACATAAGTTTTAAGTGATATTAAGTGTTTTATTCATTGGTGTAATTTCAAGATAAGTGGCAGTTTCACTTTAAATGTCTTGCCACAACCAAGTATGTGTATAAAACCTAGGAGATGAAAAAGCATTATCACAAAAATGAATTACAATAACATTTAATGTCATAGTGTGGCAATGGGGGACATTAGGATAAAGTAAATGATTCGATCACAGGGATCATTTGGCTCTATGTGTATCTACGTTTGTCCAAACATATTAGAAACCTAAGATTATTAACACTATTAAAAGATAATGTGATCACCATTGCCCTGCTTTCTAACCTATGTGCATGCAAAATCTGTTTTTTTATGAATACATTTTACCCTTCAGAAAGTCTTTCATTTAATTAATGCTCATAATTTCTGTGAAGTCAGCCTGGATATGGACCAAGCGTCACACTGAATTCTGGATAATCCGCAATATGCTCTGCTGGTTCCTTATCTCTCTTGATAAGTCTGATATCTGCTGTTCAGTTATTATAAGTCACTATAAACTGATTTAATGACTCTTGATAACAACTAATAAAAACTTCTGTGTGTAATTTCAGAGAAACTCCAAGGAGGAGAGGGCAGGGAGGAAAAGTTCTGGAGGAATAAGGAAAGAACAATGGAAAATAAGGTAATTGGGAAGATACAGGCAGGTAGAGAAGCTAGAACTTGGAGAGATAGGGCAGGGAGAAGTGCTAGAACTGGGAGAGACAGGGCGGGGAGAGGTGCTAGAACTGGGAGAGATAGGGCAGGGAGAGGTGCTAGAACTGGGAGAGATAGGGCAGGGAGAGGTGCTAGAACTGGGAGAGATAGGACAGGGAGAGGTGATAGAACTGGAAGAGATAGGGCAGGAAAAGAAGCTAGAACTGGGAGAGATAGGACAGGGAGATGGGTAGAACAAGAAGTGATAGACAAGGAGAGGAGTTTGAACTGGAAGAGAGAGAGCAGTGACAGGAGCTATAACAGAAAGATATACAGGGATATAAACTAGAACTTGGAGAGATAGGGCAGGAAGAGGAGCTAGAACAGGGATCGATAGGACAGGAAAAGAAGCTAGAACTGGGAGAGATAGGACAGGGAGATGGGTAGAACAAGAAGTGATAGACAAGGAGATGAGTTTGAACTGGAAGATACAGAGCAGTGACAGGAGCTATAACAGAAAGATATACAGGGAGATAAACTAGAACTTGGAGAGATAGGGCAGGAAGAGGAGCTAGAACTGGGAGAGATAGGGCAGGAAGAGGAGCTAGAACTGGGGGAGAGAGGGCAAGAAGAGGAGCTAGAACTGGGAGAGATAGGGCAGGGAGAGGAGCTAGAACGGGGAGATAAAGGGCAGGAAGAGGAGCTAGAACTGGGAGAGATAGGGCAGGAAGAGGAGCTAGAACTGGGGGAGAGAGGGCAAGAAGAGGAGCTAGAACTGGGAGAGATAGGGCAGGGAGAGGAGCTAGAACGGGGAGATAAAGGGCAGGGAGAGGAGCTAGAACGGGGAGAGATAGGGCAGGAAGAGGAGCTAGAACTGGGAGAGATAGGGCAGGGAGAGGAGCTAGAACTGGGAGAGATAGGACAGGAAAAGAAGCTAGAACTGGGAGAGATAGGACAGGAAAAGAAGCTAGAACTGGGAGAGAGAGGACAGGGAGATGGGTAGAACAAGGAGTGATAGACAAGGAGATGATTTGAACTGGAAGAAACAGAGCAGTGACAAGAGCTATAACAGAAAGATATACAGGGAGATAAACTAGAACTTGGAGCGATAGGGCAGGAAGAGGAGCTAGAACTGGGAGAGATAGGACAGGAAGAGGAGCTAGAACTGGGAGAGATAGGGCAGGGAGAGGAGCTAGAATGGGGAGATAAAGGGCAGGGAGAGGAGCTAGAACTGGGAGAGATAGGACAGGGAAAGGAGCTAGAACTGGGAGAGAGAGGGCAGAAAGATAAACTAGAAACAGGCAGGGTGAGGTACAAGAACAGTGAGTAATATGTAGAGAGAGGAGCATGGAGAGATAGGGCAGGGAGATGGGTTAGAGCTGGGAGAGATAGGGCAGGGAGATGGGTTAGAACTGGGAGAGATAGATCAGAGTGATGGGTTAGAACTGGGAGAGATAGGGCAGGGAGATGGACTAGAACTGGGAGCGATAGGACATGGAGATGGGCTAGAGCTGGGAGAGATGAGGTAGGGAAAGGAGCTAGCACTGGGAGAGGAGCTAGAACAGGAATATATAGGGTACGGAGAGAAGCAAGAACAAGAAGAGACAGGCAGCGTGAGGAGCAAAAACAGGGAGAGAGGCAAGAATAGTTAGTGATGGGCAACGAGAGGAGGAAGAACCAAGAGAGAGAGGTTAAAGAGAGAAGCCAAAACAGGGAGAGATAGGCAGGGCAACGAGCATTAGGCAAGGAGGTATAGACAGTGATAGGAGCAAGAACTGAGAGAGATATACAGTGAGAGGAGCTAGAACAGATAGTACTAGGAGGAATGAATACGAAGAGGACGAGAAAGGTAAGATATAGGCAGAAAGAACTGGGATAGACAAGCAGATGGAGTATGAGAAATAGAGAGTGGCAGAGAGAGACAGACTGAGATGAATGTGGAGCGATGGGCATGGAGAAGAGGGAGAACCGACAGAAAAGAAGTATATCAGAGAAACCGGCAAAGAGAACATAAAAATGGGGACAAGGAAATAGTGAGAAAATCAGTGAGAGTATGAGAATAAGGACAGACCAAGAGGATGGAGAGAAGGGAGAGATAGGCAGGGAGAGGAGAGATGATGGAGGGACAGGCAGGGCCAGAAGGAGTGCAGAGGAAATATGATGGAGAGAAAGGAAAGGAGGGATGGTAGGGAAGGCAGGGCGGGGAGAGTTGAAGAAGGGACAGTCAGGGAGAGGAGGAATGATGTAGAGACAGTCAGAGAGAAGACGGATGATGGAGGGACAGTCAGGGAGAGGAGGGATGATGGAGGGACAGTCAGGGAGAGGAGGGATGGAGGAGGGACAGTTAGGGAGAGGAGGGATGAAACAGGGACAGTCAGGGAGAGGAGGGATGACAGAGAGACAGTCTTAGAGAGGAGGGATGACAGAGAGACAGTCTTAGAGAGGAGGGATGATGGAGAGACAGTCATGGAGAGGAGGGATAATGAA